TTGACTGGAGGGAGGATCCAACTTCTGGTTATTTCTGTGTTGTCTTCATGCTGAAGCCATGTTTATCTGGGACAACTTCATGTGTTTTGGATTCATCAGATACCAGGTGTTCTCCCACACAGGCTTTACACAGGGTGACAAGACATATATCACAGTGCATCTGTACCACAGCGGTCTCACAAAGGTAACATCGCATCACGTCCTGGGGCCCGTTTTACAAAAGCCCTTACGACTAAGACCAAAAATTTCAGATTGCTGTATATTTTTGCAAAATGAATAATTCTCTTTGAAACTGGTTGTGTAAAAATTTCTTACCACTTTCCTTTTAAAAAGTTTAAAATAATTTTCGATAAAATGTTAATTAAAAGTTATTTGAAGAATTAAATTTGGTCATAAGTCGCAAGTCCTTTTGTAAAACGGGCCCCAGGGTACTGATACGGGGGTCCATGATTTGACCAACGCTTACAGTGTAGTGAAGAAATGGCAATGTTTTTTTCTTATAAAAATGAGTGGCTCCTCATTTTAATGATTGTAAGTTCAAATACATGTTTACTTGATCAAGTCCAGTAGAAAGAAAATAATGATGGGTATGTGTGTTTTACAAATGACATTGGGTTACAAACGTCAAGTGACAAAAATGTTAAACAGCCCATATAGGTAGCTGCCTTGGTTATATATCCATAATCTTGAAAATATGATTTTGAAAAGGCTACATTCTTGTGAATGTAATGAAAATTTACCCATGTCTTCAAAACAATCTTATCAAAAATATCTTTAAATTTATAATATAGATAGTTTCTGTGGTCAGAACTACAGCGACACGGGACCTCGGTTTGTAAGGTCTCATCCGAGGGACTCGCCTACACATCCCAAAGTGGGATTCGAGATTGCGACGTAAGGATCATCTCCTTACTTCGCTACTCTAGAGCAGACGCTCTAACCTCTGTGCCACGCGGGTGACCACTCTGCAAGAAAAAAAAGCAGAGATCAGATCAGTTCAGTATTCAAAAGTTTAGATAAGTGGTCCCGCGGCCAACCCTACTCCGTGGGTCAAGATTTGAACAAATATAAATCATCACAACCTGACTTTGCTTTCATATGAACTTTGTGGTATTGTATTAGAACATTTGTTTTCAATTTTTAATGAGAATGATGTGCCAATTATATATATGTACATTTGCTTTGTTTATAAGGAGAAAAAATTATTTAGTATATTAAATAGAAGATATATAATAAATGGGCGTTTGTTTGATTGGTGATTTTAGAAGAATAAGAAATGAAACTTTCATTCTTCATAAAATTCACATACTTCCATAAAAGTTCGTAAAATTGTTTTATAATGAAACCGTTCATGATAAAATAAAATCCAGTAGGGACGTAAAACAAGCAAGTAAATCCAGTTTAAAACACGACGGACAACAGACTCTACGCATGCACTTAAGTTCGTGATAGAGTCTAAAGTGACCACACCATACCCCTAGGGGTTGAATCTACATAAGCTGAGGATGCTTCCATATAAAATATGACTGACGTTGGCTTAAATTGGTGTTCTTGAGAGTATTTCGTTTAAAAAGCTGGGTTCACTTTATGCATAAATGGCCCTGTACTTATATCAATTAATTAGCTATCACCTTCTTTCCCATTTTATATATCAAAATAAAATAGACACTTGGTGCCTACATTTCCTATAAAAGAATTTCTTTTTGAGAATCCAGACATTGGAAAACAGGATTTGAGAAAATACAATGTTTTTGAAATTTGCAGAAAGCATGCCTATTTGAGAAGCTTTAGCAAAGAATTAAGATATGAGCACAGCCAACGATTCAAAAAATAAAATATGTTTTTTGATCCCCAGAAACAGATCTTTCATTATGTATTTGCATATTTTGGATCAGAGGTTGTGCTCTATATGAAATATTGAAAAAAATACTTCAACTTTAGCCCATTTTCAAAGGAATTTACAGGATATGGGAAAAATGACGCATTTTATGATGTCAGAATGCATTTACTAGAGGGAAAATCATGATTAATAGATCCGTGTTCACCAACACTTCAAGTGATAAATACGTGTTCACCAACACTTCAAGTGATAAATACTGCATTTGCAACCTAAACAGAGTGGTTTTGATTTTTTTTTAGGAATTCTCAGGGCCAATTAAGGCACAAAGTGGCTTTTGTTCTTTCTATATACATGTTGTACCCATGTAAAATTTGGGGTTTTGCTTTGAACAAACTTGAATTTGCCCAAATCAGGACCTTTCATATAATTTTTATCTTCCGTGGCCAATTTGTTCCGAGAAGATTTTTAAATGACCCCAATAATAAACGCTAATAATACACAGATTTGCGTGAATATGTTTACACGGAAGTGAGAGGCAAAAGAATATAATCCGATGTACTAAAAAGGAATAATTCTGAAAAAGTTAGCTGCTGCGATACTTTTACAAATTTTGTACATAGTTATGATGTCAAAGGTCTGTTACAACGCACTTTGAAAAAAATTTTCAATGTGCGTTAAAATTTGGGACCAAGCTAACGCACTTTGAAAAAAATAAATTTTTTTTCAAAGTGCGTTAATATCCACCATATTAACGCACTTTGAAAAAAAAATGTAAAGATTGATCAATATTCCTTCAAATAATCGGTATAATAAAAAAGAGATTCTGGTTTGATGATTTTTTTATGATAAAGTCACAGTAGGACCTGAGATATTGACGTTTTAAATATTTAAGGTTTTGATAAAATAAAAGGGAAAATTAAAGGGTCTTGAAAAAAAGAGTGACGATTGTTTAAGTTCATTAATTCGTTTCTTTCTTTTTTTTTTTAATTCTAGTCTTTGATAAGTAGAAGTAAAGGTGTATAGGGAGCACTAACAGAGGACAGCTTCAAGCAACTTAGCATTTATCATAATGAAAAGGGGCCAATTTGACTGTTCAAAACTATGAAAATTCTTTCTCTCTCATACGTTTTACTTTACTTAAAAATTTCTTGTTTTCATCTGTTTTAATTAACTAATTTATTATTGAAAGTTTTCAACGTCATACCAGTTAAGTAAATACATAATTATATGAATGCTATGAGTATAGCATAGACATCGAGACTGGGCGAAGGGCCAGGGGAGGGGATGGGGGCAAAGCCCCCCACTTATTTTGGAAAGATATATATATCGTATAAGCATTGAAAATGCAGCGTATCCTTTTTAGGTTTATTGCTCCCCTCCCCCGTTTGTTACCGACACCTATGTATTGGAAAGGTAAAGATTTGGACTGAGGGATCTTATACCCGTCTTCTCCTCTTTTCGACAGGAGTAAATCAATTCATTTTTGAGGTTAGGGTTAGGCTTAGTTTTTTGAAAGATAAATAAGTAAAATAACAAATAAAATCTTTCCTTGACTAAAATATTATTTTTTTTCATTTTTATATTTTGCGTAATTTACATTCTGAGCATGTGAGTCTGATCCCCTCTTTTGTATGTGAAATTTATTGCCTTTGATTTCGTCATTTTAATAAATGACATTATTCATCTCTAAGAGCGATTTTTAGTCAATTTTATATATAGTTAGCAAAAACTAGCTGCGGTGAGCCTGATGAGCATTGGAAGACATAAATATTATTTTTTTTAAAGTGCGTTAAGTGTCTCCATGGTAAAATATATTGATGTAGAATCTTAACTCACTTTGAAAAAATATTTCAAAGTGCGTTGAGTTGGTCCCAAATTTAACGCACTTTGAAAAAATTTTTCAAAGTGCGTAATTTTTTCAAAGTGCGTTGCCACAAAGGTCTTTTCTTCCAAAATTATGAATTACATGAACCCTGAATCAGAGGTTCCGATGCCAGGGTTGGGCCCTATTGATTGTATTGATTGTATAGTGCAAATGCAATATGGTTTGAAAATCTTCTCTGCTCCTGGGTATTTAGCAGTTACATGTATACTAAGTGTATACTAAGTGCATACTTTTTGATGACCAAATGTCTCTCTTCAGTTTTTATCAGCCTGTAATATGTATTGTGAAGCAATGCATGTTAAAAACTTTAAATCAAATATCTAATGGCTCAAATTTATCTTCATTTCTTTTAAAATTGACATAAACAGTATTCTGTCTCAATATGCACTTTATATACAACATCTAGAATGAGTATAACTTCCTCTAGAGATGACAGCGTAATGAAACATGACGTAACGGCACTGCAAACGCGAGCCTTTGCAGGAAATCATAATGCGTATTTGTCATTTATAATTTCTCATTTGCAAAAACATAAGAAAATCTTAATAGATTATGATAGTAATATGAATAAGAACTAAGCATATGATAAATTATTCATGCATCATCCTAGGGTTAATAGCAGGTGTGACCAGTCAACAGGGATACATAGGCTCCTTCTAAACACCTTATCCCACTTCTTGAATTTCCTCGAGTTTGTGTTTATAACTGGTTTTCGTTGTATTGTTTGAAACATATGGAGATAACAAACTGTATTCAAGATCAAAAGTCCATAAAACAATATACAAAATAGGAGCAGAGCAAACACGGGCCTACAAAACATCGGAGGTGGGATCAGGCGTCATTAAGGAGTGAGCATCCCCTGCCGACCAGTCACACCCGCAGTGTAGATTTTTTTTTGATTGATCACTATTCGAATATCTCAAGTTTTTCGAATATCAAAAATTTAAATATTAGGAATTCTGCACTCATCCGTATTATTCACTGTTATTGAAAATGGAATAAAGTAATCAGATGATAAAGTGTTTTTATTCTATTACTTGCGTTGTTAAACATGAGTTGCTATGTACTTGAATATACACGACTGACTGGTTAAGTCAAAAATTATGAATAACATTAAATGAATCATAGATGTGGAGTGTTTATATAATCATTTATCACAGAATATAAAAAAATAACTGTTAAAGTTATACACAGGGAAGTTTAAATACTATAGATGTACTTTGGGTACAAGAAGGAGAAATATTTTGTGATAAAGTGATTCAGAGGCCAGTCGTGGTTCAGAAACACTTAGATCAGGAAGACAAGTGATAAACATAAGTGGTCACTTAATCCTTGTATATAGAGGCAGGCTGAATCTGGCCGACAATATATGCGCTGTTAAATTCAGGTAGTTATTTTACAATACAATTTTGCATATTACTCGGTGTTTTATGAAATACTTTCGCAACAAGATATTGATTTGTTTGCTTTTGTAATTAATTTCAACTTTTGTGCATTCATTTTTAAACGTAAACATTTTACAATGCAAAATCATGTATAACTATGTTATATTGCGATAACAAAGAGTATGGCATGAAGGAATGGGGACAGTCATGCTTTTACCAGTTGTGTAATTTACCAGTACGTGCTAGGCATTTCTTTAATCATTTTAAGGTCATTCTTTTTTTCTACATGATGCCTTTTGAATTAATTACTCTTTAATTGCTACATTGTATGTCGGCAATAATTTACAAACATTAATAATTATATTTTTATTAGACAAGACCTTGTTTAATCATGGACCCCAGTACCAGTGCCCAGGACGTGCTGAGATGTGACCTCTGTAAAATAGGTGTGGTAGCGATGCACTGTGACACATGTCTGGTTAATCTGTGTAAGGTCTGTGTTGGAGAACACATGATTTCTGATGAATCAAAAAATCATGAAATTGTCCCTTTCAAGCTTAGAAAATCTACCCCCATTTATCCTGGATGTACATTTCATGTCAAAGAACGATGTGAAATGTACTGTAATCAATGTGACATTCCTGTGTGTGCCACCTGTCTTACTTCAGATCACCATCTGGGTCATAAATTATTAAAAATTTTAAGAGTTCTAGAGAAGAAAAAAGAAGACATCAACAAAGATCAAACTGAGATGAATGATACAATTTACCCAACCTACCAGGACATTGTCTCTGATGTACAAAACAGAATGAGTCAGTTAGAAAAGGAATATGAAGACCTTTCATCAGCCATATCAAAACATGGAGAGGACTGGCACAGAGAAATTGACAAACTTGTCAAGAAACTTAACGCTGAAGTTGATGAGATGAAAAACACACAGATGCAAACTCTACAGAAACACCTGGATGAAATAATTAAGAACATTTCTGAAATCAAGAATGAAATTAATTCAATTGATGCTGCTGTCAACTCTAATGACATTTCAAAAGTATTCAATGTGAAATCAGATATAAAAAGACATAGAAATCTTCCAGAAAAAATACTCATATCTTTACCAAAATTTACTCCAGGAAGGATTCAAGGAAACGAATTCTCTAAATTCTTTGGAGCTTTGTCATCAAGTTCCCTCACTTCAAAAAAGCTAGGCTACAGCCTGAAGACAACAGAAAACTCACCAGAAGCTGGATCCTCTCCTCCAATGAAACAACTACTTGATGAACCAGAGACTGTCACCACCATTGAAACTGAGTATACAAACATTCGCAATGTGGCCTGTCTGAGTAATGAAGAGATTTGGACAATTGGACAATATAACAACACTATGAAACTCTACAACATAAGTCAGGGATCACTACTCAAGTCAATCACAACCAAGTCAGGAGACACACCAGCTGACATAGCAGTGACAAAAACTGGATATCTAGTTTATACTGATTGGCGGTGCAGAACTGTGAATATTGTGAAGAATGAGAAGATAGAAGAGGTTATCAGATTAACGAAATGTAATCGTCATGTTGTCTGCATCGCAACCTCTGGAGATTTTCTGGTTATAATGGATAGTGATGACATAAATCCATCAAAGATTGTCCGTTACTCTGGTTCCACAGAAAGACAAACCATTCAGTTTGATGATAAAGGCCAACCTCTATATCCATCCGGTCCTTCTACGAGACATATTACTGAGAGCAGAAACCTGGATATCTGTGTATCGGACTGTGAGGCTGGAACAGTAGTGGTGGTAAATCGGGCTGGAAGACTGAGATTCAGGTACAAAGGACATACTCCTGCTCCAAAGAACAAACCATTCAGTCCACTTGGAATCACCACAGACAGTCAGAGTCACATCCTTACAGCTGATAAATGCAATGACTGTGTCCACATCATAGACCAAGATGGACAGTTCCTCTGTTACATCAATTTTGGTCTGAGAAATCCATGGGGACTGTGTACAGATACAAATGACTATCTCTATGTTTCTCTATATGATGAAGGACAAGTGAAGAAAATCAGATATCTGCAGTAAAAGCAAACTAGAGAAATCTTTGAAAATATGAAAATAACTTGGAAATAATTGATAATACATATATCTACTTCTTATAAAATTTCACCGGTTTATGAATGAACTGTGAATTTAAAAGTAAATTATATCATAGAAATGCATTTAAATTGGTTGATATTGAATACCCTCTCAGTGACTAGATTTATGGTTTATAATGTGTGAACTCTTGAGTTACGGATTTTGTCTCTAGCAAAGTAGCTAGTTAATGAACAGCTTGCTAGACTGCTTAGCTTTCTAGGCAAGTCAAACCAGAAGTCTCTGTCGAGACTGTAGCTCTACTGGTGTGTACTTATAAAAAAGGAAAAGTAGTAGTTGGGACTGAAAACTTTATAAAAGCAATAAACAGAATAATGAGCCCTGATTAAGTCTCTTTTTGTGGCAAGAGTGCAATTAGACTAAAATTGTAGGAGAAGCTTTCAATGAAACTTTTCAATTTTAGTTACCATGGCAACATCAATCATAAACTCAAAAACACAAAATTGATAATTATGTATCAATCAGTGTAGTCTACTTATATTATATTATAATCTGACTATAAAGGTATATGGAGAGCATTTTGAAAGTATTTTACAGAAATTTCTAGTTTTAGTAACCACAGCAACATCGTTTATGGAAATCAAAAATCGATATACAGAATTATGTATCCTAGTGTAGTTTACTCAAATGGTAGGAGGAATAGCATTATAAAGTTATTTCAAAGAAATTTCTATTTTTTTGTAACCACGGCAACACCGATTATCGAAATCGAAAACCAATACACAAAATTATGTAGATTGTGTAGTCTACTCGTGTGCCAAGTTATATTGACTAAAACTGTAGGAAGAGTAGCATTTTAAAAGTATTTCACAGAAATACACACATATTTTTAGTAACCAGAAATAAACACATATTTTAGTAACCACGGCAACATCATTCATCAAAATCAAAAACCGATATATAGAATTATGTATCTTAGTGTAGTCTACTTGTGTGCCAAGTTATATTGAAATCAGATCAAAACTGTAGGAGGAGAACCATTTTGAAAAATTGTTTACAGACAGACAGACGGACAGACAGAGGGACGAACGATGAACGCATTAATAACGCAAAAGCTCTTCTGGTCTCTGACCAGTCGAGCTAAAACCTGCTTTTGATGCCGATGCCCTACACGACACGGTATTTGGGAATGAAAGTGAGATACGAGGGGTGATCAAAAAGTTCGCAAACTATCTCTATATCTACAAAACCACGATTCAGATTAAAATGAAATTCTGTACACACATAGCCATACACAAGGTCTATAAATAGCATATGCTGAATAAAGTTTTTCTCCTTGTTTGTGACGTCACAATGTGAAAATGACGTCACTATTTAGGTCACTTGTGACGAAAAATGGTTGTCTCAGTCGAACTCGTTCACCAAACGACTGTACAATTTATTGTAATATCTTAGAAATCCCTCTACAGTATCATATAATAATTTGTACACAGTTTATTGAGATAAATGAGTTCCTATAAATTCAATTAATAATTGGATTAATCGTTTTAGTGAAGGAAGGCTGATGTTTAAAATGATACTTGTCATCTTGCCCAGTGAAAGCAAGTTTGAAAAGATATGTATTTTTAATTAAGCAATTTGCTATCAAAGACCTCCAATTAGTACTTTGAAAAATAGTTGAATATTTGAACAATGATATAAGTATTAAATACCTAAGATATCGTTTACTTTAGATTTTAAACATACTATATAATAAAAAGGATGCACCCATTCTCTATCCACCTTGAATAAAGGTATCTCCTGAGACAGAAGATTTGTGTTTTAATGGTCGCCATGCTTATTTTTGGAAAGGATGTTATTATCCACCCATTCTGTTGCCGAGATATGACCATTTCTGACAAATTAACTGTTCTTGTCATAAAAATTAACTCACATGGAAAGAAATATAAAACTCGGAAAAATCTTTTAACTTTTGTGACAGAACGCTACGGAGGGGGTCACGTGACCGCCAATATCACGTGATTCGCGCATGCGCAGAACGGTGTTTGATGTGCATTAAAGTCGGGGAGGATTAATTTAAAATATAATCTTAAATAACATTAAAACCAAATATTGTTTCTTGTTTGGAAGTTATTCAATTAGTTTGCGAACTTTTTGATCACCCCTCGTATAGTTATTCGCACATTAGTTTTATTAGAGGGTCGTTACAAATAAACGTTGTAATGAAATTAATTATTACTTATATAGCACATTTTTACTTTTTCATCGTTTAACAATTTCATAGGATACACAGACGTAGTAGTGGTCAGGGAAAAATGTGGACTTTTTGAAAATTTTCGGCAACCCCCGTAACCCCCGTCGGATCCGCCACCGGTGTGTTCCGCTCTACAATTACAAAAAGTAGTCTAGGTCACCTACACATTTGTCGCATCGATTGTCTCACACCAGAGTTTGAGTGGGGGGTCGAACGACTTGCGTGACCTAGGCTATTACAAAAAGGAAAACCCAGGTTAACATTATCAGACATATAGCACGCTTATCAATTCACCGGTGAAAAAATAGTTCATGACTTTTAAACTTCTGGAGAAAAATAAAATATCTTTTAAAATTCTAATCTAAATCTTAAAAAAGGAAAGATTAAATATATGCTAATTGAAAAAAATCATTGTAGTTAAATAGTATTGTTAAATTGTGCGGCGTGATACAGACCTAAATACCATAAGCATTAGTTTGCTCTATTTATAAAATTTGCTTTACAAAGGGAAAGATTTATCTTTTTGTTGGTAAGCATTTAAAAAATATCTCATATTTGAATAGTTTCTCATCAATATTATCGATGCAGATAATCATTTTTTTTTTTTGAAATTGAGACAAGTATATATGAAATCGATAATTAATCAGATAAACTGCGCATTTTAAATTACGATTGAAAAAGATAAAGTGTGACAAGGGATCTTCTGTTTATATTAATCAATACACAGTTTAAAATTTGATTCACCCGAGTATGTAAATTCAAAATATTTTCAAGGCATCCCTTTTTTCGAAATACGCAGTGATTTTGATTCAAAGTATTGGAATATTAACATTTTAAATTTGAAAAATATTGATTTATTTTCTATAGGCCTGCATATGAAAGGGCGTATTATTATGGAATTATTTTTCTGACCGCCCGTCTGTCTGGTTGCTCGCGAGAGCCTCGTAACCTCGTAACCGAAAATATTTTTCGCCGCAAATCGGTCCTTGTAGTTGCTGTCTCGGACTTTCAATTAACAACAGATAAAAAGGCTTGATCGCGAAAATTAATCGCCCTGAACTAATTTACCCTAGGTAAATCGCGAAATGAAACGTCGCGAATAAAAGTGTAATGATTTCGGGTTTCTAAGGTTTGACCATGCGGAGTTCTTAATTAGTCTCTGTTCACGTCACGTGACTTTAATTGTGTATAAATACCGAGACTCTGCAGTGATCAGAGGGTAGTTCGTCGGATGCAGCCAAGGTTAGAAGACGAGTGTCGTGAATAATGTATTCGCGTGTTATATTCCTCGCCTGTTTTACAGTTAGAGAGTGAATTTGGAAGGCCAACCCAGTTAGGGCCTGCCACAAACTTGGTTGACCTCCAACATAGAGTCTAGCCTTAGTTTGTTGTGTTTCGTCTGCATTGGCTGACCAGTCCGTCCAGGCTGCTATACTTATTGTCCGTCCTGAAAGGTACTTGGACACAGATTTGAAGTTAATATTTTCTCATTTTTTCTGTATAATATCACGAATTATATATTTTAATAGCATTTCACACAAAAATTAATTAAAAATCTTATTTTATTTAAAAGTTATTAAAACTTTAAATATTTTGGCGGATTTGATAGACACATCCTTGCACTTTCACAAATTTTAACTTTGTTCTTAATCCTTAGAAAAAGTGGCAATTTTGATGTGTTTTGATGAGAAATATTAAAACTTTTATCAAGAAAAATAATTCTATTCAGAGTAGAAATGTTAGAAAGCAAAACACCTTCACAAGTATCGTCATTCCGAACTAAGAGATGCGTACAGAGTTTAGCAAATCGAGCACACTCGTGTTATGTACACAGGTTTTGTAAACAGGGCTCGAGTTCTGTTATTGTTTATATTTAGAATTCACCGGGTGCGTTCAATCGTCACAGTCTGCTTACCACAACTGCACGGACTGACAATATATTGTGTGTTTGTTTTGCTTTCGACCATGTCTACTCTGAATTTTCTGGATTATAGTATTAATATTTTTCATTTATACAAAACGAGACTGCCACTTTTTCAAAGGATTAAGAATAAAATTAAATTTGTGAGAGTGCAAGGATATGTCTATCAAACCCGCCGAAAAATTTGAAATTTCAATATCTTTTAAACGAAATAAGATTTTTAATTAATTTTTGTGTGAAATGCTATTAAAATATATAAGTCGTAATATTATAGAGAAAATAATAACTTCAAATCTGTGTCCAAGTACCTTGAATAAGGCATCTTACAATGAGTGTAGTGGTTGAAGGGCTATCACATATACTGTCCTTCCTGAATAAGGCATCCTACAGTATATGCGGGAGTCCGAGGGCGACTGGGCATCCTATATTAATGTTAGATCAGGACTCCCCATTTGATTTTGTTGCTTGTCTCCGATTGTTATAGTGATTTACTGTTGATTTTAATTTACCTAGATAAGGTTAGGACATATTTGTATATTTCGGCAGTCCAATAAGATCTTACCAGTTATTTCGAATCATTTAATCTTGAACACCCTAAACCCTGGAAATGACCAGGTACGATCCCAGTGATTAATTGTAAATACGTTACAAAAGTTGGTTTACAGTACTATGAAATAGGAATTATCAAATTTCTTTAAACCTTACTAATTGTTAGTCATTTATTTATACATTAAATTAATTGACGACATATTTTTCCGTATTTCCCCGATCATGAAAAGAGCACACCGGTCGGCAGGGGATGCTTAGTACTCCTTCATGGCACTTGACCCCATCTCCGATGTTTTGGAGATCCGTGTTTGCTCTGCTTCTATTTTGTATTGTTTTATCATAGGCGTCGGTACCGGGTTGGGGGGGGGGGGCTAGGGGGTCTTAGCCCCCCCCCCCCCACTTTTTTCAAATATATATATATAATATATAGGCATTGATAATTGGAATTTACCTTTTTTGTTGGTTTAGCCCACCCCCCCCCCTTTCAATTTATGTTTATGAACCTTTGATCTTGAATATTGTTCGTTATCTCCATATGTTTCATTATAGAAATTCATTTGAAACTGTGTCCATGTTCCTTGATAACAATAGCAATGGCTAGTAGAATGGATTTGGAAGCATCCTTTTGTGGCAATTACACATATTGCTTATTGCAAAAATCACCATTTTAAGCGTTGTCATGTTGTATATGCATTGCATGGAGTGTTAAATATCAGTTGGTGAACATGGCGGCCAGATATCAAAGCTCTAAAAACACGGATGTTTAAATGGTCATCCTTGCTCTACTTAAATAATCAAAGTTGAAAGTGAATTGGGTTTTTGTAAGGGCCGGTACACACGGTAAGGCTTGCCTTATAAGTCATGGAACGTAAGTTCTAGCCTTACCGTGTGTACACCCTTAATACACGTTTTTTTTTGGAGCCTTGCAAGTCTGACTTAGGGCCGGTACACACGGTAAGGCTTGCCTTATAAGTTTAAAACATACGTTTTGCAGGACGTACGGCTCCTATGACCACACGCTAAGGCAAGGCTTACAAAATTATAAAAACATTTACATAGATTCCATGTGTTTTTGAGCCATAAACAGTGCCCATTATTAAACGGAATAATGTATTACAAGCTAGGACTTTGAAATAGTTTTTCCGACCGGTGCATAATTCACACTTCTGAACAAAGAAGAGAGGGTTAACTGAAGTATTTGCCGATATCTTCATTATCTTATTCGAATATACTTTGTGTTTTCTTCAATATACCAACGTGTATGGTTTTATAAGAATGGATTGAACTTTGGGTGAATGGTTTTCATTGGTTAAGAAATAAATATCAGCTTAGTCTTGAATAAAGAATAGAGCAGTGTTCTATTCCTAAGTCAGACTTGCAAGGCTCGAAAAAACGTGTATTAAGGGTTTACACACGGTAAGGCTAGAACTTACGTTCCATGACTTATAAGCAAGCCTTACCGTGTGTACCGGCCCTTAGGAATAGAATATGATTAAAGATAATTAGAAAAGATATGTATATTATAAATATATATATATATATATATATATATATATGTGTGTGTGCGTGTGCGTGTGCGTGTGCATACATACAGCTGTGGTGGCAGAATCAATAAGTAGAATTCTTTCTGTTTAAGTGCTCTCTATGGGAATGCTCTGGAGCTATGATAGAAATATGCATTCCATGAATTGCCAGACCACAGTTTAGCTCTTGATGACTTTCTTCAACCTTTCTCAGTTTCTCGGAACTTATGTTGCAAAATTGTAGATAATTATTATTTCAATTACAGAAAAAACGTTAATAAACTTCTGTTATTCATATTTACGATGGAAGAACTATTCAAAAGCTTCGATTGAATCAAAATTACATTATTGTCGTCCTGTACAAAAATGATTTCTTATATAAAACTGTATTTTTGATTGTATGTATAGATGACTTTCTTCTGCTTTATTTTAGTCTAATTGATCATAAAGGGTTAAGTTACATATAAACAATTTATCATAATGACACATTTTAGCAGCAAAATAACATTTTCACAAATGCAACTCATATTGCTTGAAAGTGAAATTTTGAATTCGTTAGTAGTTTTGTTGAAGTATTTTCCCTTCTAGTTATTTCCCTCGGCTACTATATATATTGTAGATTTCCCAAAACCAGAAAGTTTTCCAGTTATCCTATATTTTGCCGAAGACGCCAACCAGCATAGGGCAATAACACCTTTTTAAGAGGCCCCAAGTAAACTTCGCTTTTTCATGGATAAACAAAATTACAGGATATATATGATTTTTTTTCTGTATTCAAAAGAAGTAAATTTCATCTTCGCCTTCATGCATAAAAATCATTGGTTTATGATGTTATCATATACAGTATAGCTTTTCAAATACTCATGAACCTTTATTATTTTTTCTACAGTTGAACAATTATGCCCAAGGACGGAAAATAAAATGGGAAAAGACAAGGAATTAATGCTGAAAATGAAGAAAAGGAAGAAAATAAATAAAGATGGCTTTATTGGATCTACAGCAAATTCAGAGACCAATGAAGGAAGTGTTAATGTTCCAGGAAAAGTTTGGAAGGTCTCTCTCTCTCTCTCTCTCTCTCTCTCTCTCTCTCTCTCTCTCTCTCTCTCTTAGAGATTAATATTTCTATTACATGTATCTAGATCTGATTTCAGTGTTTGATAACTAACTATGTAGAATGAGAAAAGATTGAGATTAAAAGATTAGAAAGGCAGAAATATCAATAGGACGACCAATTTTCTATATATAAAACAAAGACTTATTAAGTATACGAGGGTTGTTCAGAAATTATTGAAACATTTACTTTTACTCCATAAAGGACAGATATAAATTCAGGATTTGTCAACAGTTTACAAAGAACGAATAAAATAACTTTACAAAATTTCTAGTTTATGGGATAATTAGATAAGTTCCGATGAAATAATAAACTTGCATGTTTTTAGACCTGGAGCAGCATTGCTACGTCATTTTAAAGTCACGTCAGTCGGAGACGTTTTCGCATGTGAAACGATGGGGAAGAGTTTACTCTCCTTTCTTTGTTATCATATATACCATACAAAAATCAAACTGTCTATTTTCTTAAACGATTCTTTAGAAAAAAATACGTGCTGTTGCTAAACTTGTGTAGTTATTCTATGTGTTACATTGTAAATATATATTTATACAGGATAGATTATTTCACTGCCCATTTATGCAACTCGGGTCAACATGCATTCTAAATTCCGTAGCGGTCGTAAAAATTGATCAAAATCCATTTTGTCGTCGTACTTAATATTTTTTTGATAAAATGTATTAGTGCCACTTGGATATTATACTTTTTTATTTCTACACCTTTATAAGTAAATCTTACACTTTAATCTGTAAAATTTACTCACAAGTTTATTTTGTCAAATTTACACATAAATCTGTAAAAACACATAAATCTGTAAAATTAACACCATAATCTGTAAAATTTACACTTTAAATTTTACACTGTAATATGGCAAGCCCTTTTACTATTTATTTGTGAAATAAAAATTTTCTTTCAATAAGAGAGATGTCTCTATAGCATAGAGAGATATCTCTTTAGCTTATAGAGATATATCTTTGATTAAAATAGATATCTTTATACCTTAGAGAGATATCTCTTTCAACAAAAGAGATATTTCTTTATGCGAGAGAGATATCTCTTAAACAAGATTAAAAGACATATCTTTCTTTGTTAGAGAGATATCTCTTTAAAATTTCAAAAAGAGATATTCTGATAAGCTAAAGAATTATCTCTCTTAATGAGAGAGATATCTCTTTTTCAGTAATCCTTAAAATAGAATAATTAATTCTCCACTTTAAAATGAAAACGAAACAGGAAGTAAAGTCTCTGGAATAGTTTCGATGTGAAAAGAAAAAAGACATAGCATGGCAAATTCATTGATAAAAATGATAAAAGTTTAATATTCAGGAAAACGAAAGTAGGCATATATATATAATCTCAAAAGCATGGATCGGTTTTTTTCTCAACTTAGGAAATAATCAACTACATGTATTTCTCATTCGAAATCTAGACAAAACTGAATAACTTCTGATGTTTAGTAAAGCTTAAATGTAGAATATCATGAATGAGTCGAATTTAAAAGTACTTTAATGTACTTCAGTTAATTAACAAAAAGGCCTACTTCCGGTAAAGAAAAAAGTCATTTTAAATGGAATTTAAATAAAAAGAAAATGAAGAGAGTTATCTCTTTGCAGATATATTTCCTTTTGACACTTTTGAAAGATATATCTTTAACTTTAAAAGCTATCTCTTAAGATAAAGTAAGAGAGATATGGCTTTTACTTTCAGATATATCTCTTTAACTTTGAAAGATATCTCCAAAAGTAAAGTAAAAAGATATTTCTTTAACGTTTAGAGATACCTCTTTTTACGAAAAAGTTATCTCTTAAGAAGAAAACAGTATTTTTTCAAGTGGAAGAACATCTCTCAAACAAAAAGAGATATCTAACTAAATATAAGAGATATCTCTTTCTCAAAGAGATATCTCTGAAAAATGAGAGATGTCTTTAACATGGGATATATCTCTATTTTTCAAGAGATATCTCTTTAATTTATCTCTGTAATTTTAAGATGAAATTTATTTTCCAAATCAATAGCAAAAAGGTTTGTAATACTTTAATCTGTACATTTTAGTGCCAGTTGGACTCTTTACTGTTTTTTTCTTCACCTCAATATGAAAATCTTTACACTTTAGTCTGTAAAAATTAACACTTAAATTCGAAAAATTTACACCTTATTAATATGTAAAATTTACACTTTAATCTGTAAAATTTCCACTTAAATCTGTAAAATTTACTCTTTAATCTGTATAATATACACTTTAATTTATTAATGCTACACTTTAAGGTAGGATCGATTCTGCTCACACATTTATTTCTTGTATTTAAAAAAATAAGTGACATTTCTACAGAATCAAGAAGACAATATAACTAAACAATGCATACACTATCATTTGGATCTTTGGTGATTGAGTATCTATCATAAATAAAGTAATCTTCTGGTTGGTCAATGACGTCAGGAAATGCGACCAAGAAGAAGGTACAGTTTGGGCTTTATCGCGCCCTAAAAGATTTATTGTTTTTAAAAAGTTTTGAGCAGATGAATATAATAGATCATTAAAGAATATGGCATGAAAGATGACTGTTCTGGAAATATGACGTCATTAATTTGGTACCTTTCTAAGTTTAAAGCCATATATGGCGTACCTCATCAAAAAATATAATTGAAAAAATACAAAATTAAGTAAAGAAATATGGTTAATACATTTAAATCAAAACTTTTTATACAAATGGCGAAGGTTAAAGTTGACAGACAGATAAATAAACAGACAGAAAGCTAAACAGACAGGATAAAACAATATACACCTCGGATCTATCGATCCCGGCGCATAGAAAAGGAAATATACAAGTTAGTGAAGTTACAATTAGTATTTAGGATGTCATGTGAGAAAACAATTTGTGTATTCTCACTACATGGAATTCCTATGAATCAGAAATTAAATCATGAAATTCAATTTCTTATATCACTGCCATATTATAGAAAAATACAGGGCTTAATTTGTATTGAAACTGGACCTTTTTTCCACATATTCTGCAAGAAAGTATACAAAACAGTCAATTTTCAAAGCTATTTTTTGATATTTAATACAGAGCGCAATCTCTGATCTAAAATATTTTAGTATGCAGCTAGTAAATGATAGAACTGTTTCTGAGGATTAAAAGACATGTTTTATTTTTTAGATCATAGAGTACGCTCGTATTATTTTTCTTGACTGAAAGTACTCAAAAATACCTGTTTACCTCGAAAATCGAGAACATTGCAATTTCATACAGCCAGTTCTTCATGACCCGGACTTTTTTGAGAATTTTTATGCCCCCGGATTTATTCGGGGTGCATATTGTTTTTGTCAAGTCTGTCTGTTTATCTGTTTGTCTGTCTGTTGTCAACTTTAACCTTCGACATAACTTTTGAACCGTGAGAGATAGAGACTTCATATTTGGTACTCTACTAATTTAGCAGTTTCAACTGATGCCAAGGCCAATGACCTTGTGACCTTGACTGTGACCTTTATGCTAAAAACAGCTTTTAAAAAATAGCCATAACTTCTGAACCACAAGAGATAGAGACTTTATATTTGGTAGGCATACTCCACTAATTAAGTGTTTTCAAATGACTCCAAGGACAATGATCATGTGACCTTGACTGTGACCTATTTGCTAAAATTGTTTTTTATTTTAAATAGGGAATGAAAGCACCAAGTCTGTATTTTATTTTAATGCTTAATATAAAACATCAAGTTTTAATCAATCTATTGGTATATCTACAGGGCCATTTAAGTGTAAAATTTACAGATTAAAGTGTAAAATTTACCAAGTGGTATTAATTCCCTTCCGTATTTCAATGATCCTCAAAATAAAATTGAAAAATCCAAATAAAATTGAAAAATTATATACATAAATTGAATCATTTTTGCTCTTATTATGGGTCCACCGGGGGTTGCATGTTGATGTTACATTTTTCAATATCTGATTTCGTGCCTGCGCCGTGTACTCCTACCATTGACACTTTTATATATCATTGCAGAGAAAAAAAAATAATATTTGTAAATATCTTGCTTTTATGAGTTCTTAATGTATGTCAAACGTATATGCAACTTTTCACCAAAAGATGTTCATTAGAAAGAAAAATATACTCAGTGTCTCGATTATTTCCGAACAACCCTCGTATGTTAAAAATAAACTTATTTTAAATTTTCTAGTTATGACTTAGGATCTTTTTCATGATTTATCCCCAGGCTTTTGAAAAAGAGATAGAAAGACTAAAGAATGAACAAAAGATTACAAACGCAAGATTAAAAACAATACTACACAACCAAAACAAATTCGGGAGAGAAATTTCAAGATTGGAAAGTTCCCTAAGAAGCTGTAATAACGTTCCTCGTACCATTTCTCGGCTACAACCTACACTGCCCGGTAAGTTATTCATTTACTGTTTAAGGTTGGATGCTGCTATCAAAAGGTTCGAGAATTTTTTTATCGTATATTTTTAGAATCTACACACATAGTTGAAGAAAAAAAATTTGGCTTCAAAAATAGTTTCAAATTACTTCGCTTAGTCATTTGACCTTTCTGCACTAAAAAAAAATGTTATTTTTAGCGTTAAAAATTTAGAAAGCTATAAAATTATTTGAAAACTGCATGTTAAAATAGGATTATTCTAAACCTTACTGAATGCTTCGAAATGAAAAACTAGATGATTTACAAATGTATTTTGTTTGAGGAATGGAGGTTGAATTACTTTAACACATTCTGGTATTAAATGCTTTTATTAATATTCATCCAACCACATTTGTGGGGTTGGCAATTGGAAATTTAAGGTTCCATACTTTAGAAAGTGATTTTTACATATTTTAAAGAGTGTTTAGAAAGTTCATTCCATTTTAAAGAGGAAATACATTGAGAAGATATTTGTTATTTGAGATAATGTATGTTAAAACAGTACATTCTTGCTACTAATAAGGTTTTAAGTGTCTTTTGTTGAAGAAATAAAGGGAGGGTAGGTATTTAATCAGATAATGTATTTGCAGCAAAAATCAAGGATGTAATATATTTTAGACGTTCTCATTATATTAAGCACGCAGTTCAATATATTTTTTAAAATACTATTTAAAATGTATCAAGCCAGTGTAGAATTTTAAAATGACAAACTACAGTAAAACTCGGTTAGTACGAACACGGATATTTCGAATTCACGGATATAGCGAAGTTATCTTGGATCCCCAGTTATATAAATTTAACAGATTCCCACACGGATATAACAAATTACGGATATAACGAAATAATTTCATAGGTCCCAGTGACTTCGTTATAACCGAGTTTTACTGTATTCACTTGAATAGTACAGAATCCTATATTTTCTCACCAAGTTGACAAATCGCAAGTCTACGAATTACACGAGAGCATCGGGAAAACTTGCATTTACATTTTACCCTTGTCACGTTGGATAATTACAATTAACAAATTGTGATAGAACAATTGACAAATTATGATTTACAATTTCAGGTTTACAAGTGTACATTTTAAGAATTAAAGAGTTGGAATTTTGAACCCTTTGGATTTCCATATCATTGTATGATTTTAAAGATATTTATTCAAACTCATTTTTGGCCAAATTGATTTTATAAGAGAGTTCTACATACAATGAATATGCTTAAATGTTACTAAGAGATGGTACTTCTAATTTTCAAAAAAAAAAAGTTCATTTGAACTTTTTTGATCCAATTTATCATACCTTGATTAAATTTATGTTTATTCATCCACATTTCAGGTGATATCATTTCTAGAGATTTTTTCAGTAGAAAAGAGTTCTACATATAAGAAAACATGTTTTTCATTTCTAACCTGTTTCGCCACACTTGAGATTTTAGTGAATTACTAATTTTAATTGCTTTTGCACAATATCATGCTTTTTTAGTTTGAAGATTTGGATTTGGATTTTGAATAATATATTTGAATATATTAAATATTTTTTTCATACAATGATTTGTGGATGCTCATCCAACTGTATTTGTGGAGTTGCCATTTGGTAAGATTCATTTAAGAAGAAAAGCGGGTCACTAATAAATCAAACCTAAGTTAGATATTTTCATTTCACTCTGCATCTGTTTCCTAACATAATGAAATCAAAAGCACAAGCTGTCCCACTTTGTTGACATTTTAAGGTCATTAATTATTATAACCTGAATCTCATTTCATTGTTTATCGTTTATCGTTTCTTGTTTCTTTTTCCGTGTATTACACATACCCAGAAAAATAACATCTTTTGAATACAGAAAGGACTATGCAAAGTAATTTGATACTATTTTTGTTGTCACAATTTTTTATGAAAATATTCAGGATGTAAAAATATTGTTTTGTTCCAATAATTCATTTGGATATAAAATATTACAGGAAATACTTTGAATAAATTATTTATGTGTTAAACGTAATTAGGTGCATAGTTTATAATGTCACTATTAAAGATGCTTGATCCAATAATCAATTTTAATAAAAATTAATCACGGAAAAATTGATTTATGTGTTAAACGTAATTACAGTGCAAAAAGGTCATATTAATTGCTCTGTTGATTTAAAAGAAGCGCATTGACCCCCATTTTTGCCTTGATTTTTTTTTTTAGCTATGTGTGAAATTCTAAATATATACTATTAAAAAAACCTCTGGATACTTTTTATAATAAGAAACAAAAAATTGCGCTAAATAATTCAGGTTCTTGTTTTATTTTCGTTTATAAATAGTTGTCTATAGTTGAAAGAACATGCAATGAGTATCTATGAACTAAATTGATATGAATTGTTGCTTTATGTTACCACATGCATTGGATACTAGTATAAAAACTTTTTAAAAAGAAAATATGTCTTTTTTCATAGGATCATCAGAAGATGAATGCGTGCACGGGGAAGTATTACGGGAGAACATGAAAATGATGGTTCAAGGAATACGTTTGTCAGATTCTTTACTAATTGATGAATTGATGGAGAAAAATTGTTTTACAGAAACAGATGCACAAGAAATAAATGAGATAAAAACTTGTAATAAAACGAGGCAAATGGTTTTGCTGCTCAGTCGCAAAGATAAAACTGTGTTCCGAAAATTTATTAATATCATATCACAAGAAGAATATTATCCACAGATTTCTAAGATACTTAAAGAATCGTACCGGAATAAACTCCAGAAACCAGAAAAGCGAAGCAAATGTATTCCGTGCTTCATTATAAAGAATGTAGATATTATGCGGATTGCTGATGATCTTTATCAAAGTAACGTCATTGATTTAAAAACTCTTCAAGATGTTATGAGGGGGGATAAACCAGCTTTGGACTCTTTCTGGCAACAGATTTTTAACAAAATGACAAATCCATGTCATGGAAAAATGTACATGTCCAATCTCAAGTTTGCTCTTCTTGAAAATTACAATCACATCGCAAAAAAAATCCAACGCCAAAGTCAGCTGACTTGTTATTGTTCATCTAGTATCCTCTCCTTTCCAAGTAATTGCAGCGATAATACCTCCGAATTTAGTACGACCTCAACAATTGTACCACCACAACCGAGTCATTATGCTTCTAATTGGATTAAACAGTTGCAGGAATTGAACAATGGAAGCCGAGATGATGCTTCTCATTTCTACAGTGATTCTGATGAAGCTATAAACCCAAAACAAGTCTCAAACAAGAATAGAAAACGAAAACGCGTGTCAGAGGAGGAAGAGGAGGATATGAAGAAAAAGAATCAAAGAGAAGACAAAGATGAACGGGAGAAAAAAATAGAGGAAGTAGAGATCAAAGATGAAATAGAAGAAGAGCAAATTGAAAGAGAGGAGGGAGAAGAGGAGGAAGACACAGAAGTGGAGGAAGAGGCAGACGAGGAAGAAGAGGAAAATAATGTAGAAAATGACGAAGAAGAAGAGGGGGAGGAAGATGAAGAGGGAGAAGAAAGAGATTGGTGGGTGGTAGAGGACAAAGAATGTCAGGAACAGGGATATGAGTCAGAGAATGAAGAGGAGGAAGAAGGGGAAGAAGATGAGAAGGAAAGGGCAGATGAAGTACAAGAGGAAGAGGAGGAAAATATGGATGAAAGGGTGGATTTAAGAGGAGGAAGAAAAGGGAGAGGAGGATGAGGATCAAGAAGGAGAGGAAGAAGTTGTGGAAGAGTGGAGAGACAAGGAGGATTATAAAGAAGTGGAGAAGGATGAAGATAAATAGAATGAAGTTGAAGAGGAAAAAACAGAGTCAAAGGAAGAAGAAGAATTTATATAAGATCTTCCACGATTTACAGTTGGATATTATTTTTATCCAACAAAATGTGTGGGTTTTTTTATCCCTAAACATTGGAGAGGGGATACAAACACACAAGGAGTTGGATAAAAATCATATCTACCTACTTATATGGGAAATTCTTTTTATCCAACGTTTTCACATCACTATCAATGTTTACACAGTTTAAATACTGTAAACCAACTTTTATTCTCGTGCGAGAAATTTTCGCAAAGTTCACGAGAGCCTCGTCATCGCGAATATTTCTCGTCGCGAACCGGTCCTTATAGCATATTTTTCTATTAAAAACAGGTGCAAAAAGGATTGATCGTGAAAATTAATCGTAGCGAACTAGTTTATCCTGGTAAATCGCGAAATAAAGTCGTTGCGAATAATAGTTGGTTTACAGTATAGGATTCCACCCGAGTATACCCGATAGACCGGACGTATTCCATCGCGGTCCGGATTTCTTTCTTAAATAGTGTTCATAAAAATTTCCAATTCAACATGTAACTACGTATATAAATATATATAGTGTTTAGTAGTTTAGTAGTAGTGCTACATGTAGTTGTTTTTCGTTTCTCTTTTTCCATTGTTCTTATGACTTCTTAACTTTTTTTCTTTGTCCTGAGGAAGGGACAGGGCGTCGAGAAAATTTGACAATTTTTATTGTTCGTGTCGTTGGTCATTTTTAGTGCTTTATATAAATTTTCATTCGTGACCTTGTATCTACATGTTTTTGTAGATCCGACACTTAGGATATACAGTGTTGTTGGGTTTTTTAGTGCTTGACTGTTTTGCTTCCAATATAATTCCATATAAAATTTTGTACATTTTTTAACATTATGACAAACTCTTATAGAAATTCCCAACTTTACTTGGTAATCATTATTCTTGTTACCAATTTAGAGGTAAATTTATGAAAAATATTGCTGAATTCTGGAAAAAAAAATTGTTTGTGTTATTTATCCTTAATTTCATACAATATGTCTTAGAGTACTAGCCTCTCTAAATTGAACAGCAAAAATTAAACATAAACTTAAGAAGTCAAATGTCATCTTATATTAAGTTATGCTCTAAATTTACATCAAATCTATGTTAAAACTTAGTAGTATGAAAATCAAATATATTCATTTGCCAAGAGAATAGTTTAAAGGACAAGTGCACTTAAGCAATACTTTGTGGGCCCTTTTTATGTGCCATTTTACACTGGAAAGAAAAATGTAGATATAGATGAAAATTTAGTGTGAACCGAGGTACCCCCTGATTTTCAAGATGGCGAGTGACGCTCCTTTATTCTTTTTATATACAGTAAATATGACATTTTTTAAAACGTGTTAATTTCGGCGAATGTTTATTTTTATTTTAATGAGGGTATTCAGGTACACCTAGTTAGAATAATCTAACTGTGTCTCGGTACAAGCCCTCACCACAGTTAGAATACGTCCCAATATAAATGATATACTTGCAATGTAGCAAATAATCTAACTGTGTCTTGGTACAAGCCCTCACCACAGTTAGGATACGTCCCCATATACTTGCAATGTAGCAAATCGGAGCGGATCCGCTCCGAAATGATTTTGAAGAATATAAAACAATTTGCACTGGAAATAACTATCAAATTAATCAAAACAAACCTTTTTGAGGTTGCATATGCCTTTTATCCCAAAAAATAATCCATAGAAGGACTAAAACCCAATTAAATTTTCCAACGTTTTTCTCTTGCTTCAAATATACCAAATTTACATTCGGAACTCTCTAGAGTGTTGATAGTAAATGTACTAGTACGAGTTATCGCCCGTGTTTCTTTTGCTACATTACGAATACATGTACAGGGAACGAAATCTATCGTTAAACCGGGTCCGTAGGACATTTATCATTTTAACGATAGAACATTTTATCTAAGGTACACCTAGAAAAGCACACAATACACAAAATACACCATCCTGTAACTAAGCGTCTATGCTTTAAAGTAGTAAAAACACCCGTGAATTTTATTTTAACTCATTTCTTAAAATGGATAGAAGGAAAAAATAAAGACAAAAGAACAATATTACTACATGTATTTTGACAACAATGAATGATCCCTGTAAGAAAACCCTATATTGGTTTTTTGGAGCTTACATTTTAGAATGTGTTCACGCTATCTAAAAGCAATAAAGAAGCATATGACAGGCTGTTATTAAATGCAATTTAACTTTGGTTCCATAAATAGTAGAGGGCTGATATTTGACAAATTAATATTATATAAAGAGTCTATATTCTTTATGAAAAAATAAAGGTCAAGGCCATATCAAGAGGTCAAAGGTCAAATATTCGGACGTCATCTACTGTCTGAATCTTTAAGGAGTTTTTTTTTTGTCATTTAATTTTTTTAAATCGCCAAAATGTTTGAAACCACTGGTTCAATTTTCTTTATTTTTACACATTTTATTCTTAGACTATTTGAATCATTCCTTTGATTTTTTGAAAAAATTGAATTTTACATTTTCTCGTGACACAACTTAAAGTGTATGCAAAATTCAAAGATATTATTTGTAAATTTTCAATTCCAACGCTATTTATGTTCTATTTTTAAGTTATATATTACTCAAAATTTCCAGGAACAATATAACTTACTTAGTTTAAGTAACAAAAAGGTTATCTCTATAAACAGCATATTACACCAATTTGCAATAGATCAATTGAAAATCTTAAAAATAAGCCTCATTTTCAAGTCGAATGTGTGATTTCAAAATCTTTGTACTTGGTGGGCCAAAAATGTGTGGTGAAAAATCTTTCATATTATGGAAAAGGAGACATTATGTATCCTAGAACAAAATATCAAAGTTTCAGAAAAATTGATTTTTAGGGAAAATTTGGCCATCTATTGTGTCTTACCTTAAATATGAAATATGAAACTTATATTAAAACTGCATTCTGCTTTTTGTGATGAAGGCTATGTAAAACATATTCATCAAATTAATTCGATGATATCCTTAACTTTGTGCTCAGTATATTTCAACATTTTGATAATGTATAATCCAGTGAAAGAATCTGGCGTAAATATAAATGAACAGTATATCACAACAATGAATTTTGTTTGCCACAACAAATTTAAGTACTCAGGGGTAGGGAAAATTTCAACAAATATGGAAAAAGGATAAACAGTCAATCGACTGATGGTTTGTTTAGCAAGGATATTAAATTGTTTTCGTGGAATTGTAGATAACCACAGCACTCGTGTAGAAATATGTCTCCAGTAATAATTAACCATTTCTCCGATGACAAGGACATTTCTACTTTATGAAGGATCTGGAGATTAAGACAAAGTTAAGTTCCGGTATTATCGGTTATTACACTGAGCTTTAACAAAATGATTTGGCCTTCTCTTTTCGTTCTGGCAATAATAAATGTGGGATCCATTGTCGGTAATATTCAATTTTTGACTTAAAAGTTTGAATTTTAAAGTTTAGTGTACATAGCAATGCTTAGACTGGAATCTTTGGTATTTAGGAAAGCCCCATGCAAGAGTCGACACGTGCACGACAACAGGCGGATCGTGCATTCGGTCAATTCGGACATCTTCGCATTCCGATAACCTCATCTATGACGTGTAACTCCAGCTGGGACGGCGTTATCACCGACAAACAGCTCTGCGTAGGAAGTGGGGACATGGGGGCATGACGGGTAATAGAGATTCAAAAAGAAAGAGAGAGTTAAGGGAGAGATGATAGATCCATCCAACCGTCGTATAGCCACGGGTGATCTCGTCTTTTACTTATCACGTAGTATTAGGGGATTGTATTTTTTCTATAAGGCTAAGAGATATTGAGATTATGTATACATTTACTGCTTAAGCTCGGCTAAATATAAAGTTAATTTGTATAAAAAGAAAATGGCGTTGATAAGAACAAATATCAGACTTTAAATACAAAACATGTAAATTGAAGTTCACAACAAAGTTAATGTTTCGTACACTCTTATTTTTTACTTGTCTTCTTTTACAATCTTAAATGATTAAATCTTGTTTATATTCTAGTCTCTCATTGGTTGATTTCCAAAAAAGGAACGCAAAGTATTTCTCAATAACCTGGTTTGGTATGGGGACACACCCCCTGACAACCAGCTGAATCATCTGTATCTATACAATCCTCTCATTTCCAGTCCAGGGGATTCATAAAAAAAATCCAGATTAAATAAATTAATGTACCTTTAATTTCAAACAGTAGCTCAATCTTACTTCATATAAACAAACATCATGGCTGCTAGATCTGTGTATCAATTATTACGTCCCCTTGTTTCAAATCACTTCGTTACTAGGGATGTATTATTGAGCGGCAAATTTGAACTCATAAAAAGCAGCACAATTTTACACCCACAGTTGTTTAATTACTTAAAAATTAAATTATAAGGAATGACTCTAATTCTTGGCCAAATTATTCGATTATAACCTGGTTTGGGTCAGTTTACGCTTTATAATTCGCGAAGCGGATTATAAAAAAGCGCAAACTGACCCAAACCAGGTTATAATCGAATAATTTGGCCAAGAATTAGAGTCATTCCTAAAATAGATTTTAAAAATTCTCTATCTTGTGGCAGCATAAATTTCAGCATAGAAGCAAAATCTTATTTCTTTCTGTTTTCTTATCCCATGTTTCAAATTATTATTGATACCCTGGCATACTCTACAAACTAAACAATGATTCCTTAGATAATTTTCTATGGTAGACTAATTCAATATTTGTGAAATATCTATAGTCCTTCTATAAATTTTGTCTATTTCCTTCAGACAATCAGTATATCCTTGTTGTTCTGGACACTGGAGATAAGGAATATTATCGCTGGACCTTTGACCAGGAGAACCTACTGTTCTACAAATCCG